CCAAAGAGCAGGTGCATATTATCCAGCAGCATATAAAAGCTGCTCAGTCCAAACAAAAAAGTTACGCTGATAAAAGAAGAAGGCCACTGACCTTTGAAGTGGGAGATTATGTATACTTAAAAGTTTCGCCCATGAAGGGTGTGCAGAGATTTGAAGTAAAAAGGAAACTTGCGCCCAGATATGTGGGACCATATAAGATCATTGAACAAAAAGGGAAAGTAGCCTACAAGTTGCAACTTCCACCAGAAATGAGTACCATATTCAATGTCTTTCATGTTTCCCAACTTAAGAAGTGCCTTCGCGTACCTGATGAAGCCATTGAATCCACAAATGTCAAGATCTAGTCATATTTGACTTATGAAGAAAAACAATCTAAGTTTTGGAAGAAATAGAAAGAGTCACAAGGAGCAAGGTCATTAAGTTCTACAAAGTGGTGTGGAATAACCACAACGAACAAGATGCCATGTGGGAACGAGAGGACTATTTACATGAGGTCTACCCTATAAGGGGGAGGGGCTATAACACCCCATGTTAAGCATGCATGTGGCACTTGCATTGCATGAGCATAAGCATCATTCATTCATATTTGAGCATTAACATATGAAACATACTTTTGTTATTCTATGTTGTAACATGTATATGCTTGTGATCATGAGTGACCAATGTAGGAGATGGGTGTGGGGTCACAAAAACACCTTAGACATGTTTAGAATGGTACATGGATCAAGTTTGGTATTCATGGCATGGACCAAATTAGCCTCTAAGTCATAGTTACTCTAAACATGTTAATTTCATGTTACTACTTTGACCAAAGTTGAACTATGGTCTAGAGTGATTGCATGCCAGTGCACCCTTAATCAAAGTTGTAGTACTTTACTAGAGTAACAACTTTTATTTTTGGGTCAAGCCCTAATTCAGTGCCTAACATGTTCAAAAATAGATCCAAAGTAGCAAGGAAATGCTGTTTTGAGACTTGAAAAAATTTCTAAGTCTAAAACGTTGAATTCAGTTTCAAGTGCATCGATTTAGGGCTTTGTAGATTTCAAACTATTGAGAATTTGGGGATACTTCATAAAGCAAATTTGTAGATTACATGTAGCTCTACAACTTTCGTTAATAAAGTTTTTGCAAAGGACGAACGGATTCAGAGATCTAGGGGGATGAAAACATGCTGTCAGTCGGCTCATTTGTGACTGAACCCGGTGCCTGGGCACGCGTCGTGGCCGACCGGGGGTAGGCCAGGCACGCTGCATGGCGGCCGTACGCTGGCGCCGGCCCAGTTAGTCAAGCCAGCGTGTGGTCAAGAACCTCGCGCCCCTGCTACTCATTTCCGCCTACGCTTACTCCCTCTCTCTCCCTTACGTGAGCACCGTCGACGCAGAGCACCGTGCCACCATCGCCACAACCACAGCGGCGCCATGCCCGCTCGCTGCCGTCGAAGCTCTACCGGTCGATTCCTCTCAGCCACAGCTGCCATACCTCCTTTGACAACAGTATGGACGACACTTGTGGAACTATTTGAAAAACACTCGTTTGTAAACAAAATAGGTCCAAATAGCATGCACCTAGGGTTGTTGCAGAAGCTATGCCAAATTAGTGCTTATACTACTATGGAAAATAAAATAGCAATGTCCAAACCTCGAGTAAGTCACCTTCGAAAGTCATTCGTGCCTCCCGTGCGGTGCCCTTTGAAGAAAAAAAATTCTCACCTATACTACATTAAATCCAGGGATCACACCCTTAGGTCCAAACCTGGTATCACTGTCGAAATTGGGTTCGCCAGGAGAAAATCAGCAATGATAGGGCTCACTTATCACTGTCGATCGGGTCTCAACATACTAGTAAAAGTATACTATAACTATCGGTTCAAGACTAGACCGGTAATGACTAATAGCATGAGGATCACTGCCAAGTAGACAGCAAACCTGGCAGTGAGCCATGATGTTGTTAGGATTTCATAGAGACCTTTATGGTATAATGTAGGGGTCAATGATGGTTTAGTTGTTTCAACTGACAGTGACCTTTCGTTTCTTTTCTTTTATATACTAAATAGAGGTTGAGGTTGATATAATATTTTACTTTTGATATTATTGCATCACATTTCTCACAAGATTTGAATGAATACATCCACTACAAACCAAAGTCATCATTACAAACCATATATATACATACTTAATGTAAAGTCTTATTACTACAAATATGTGGAGCACACCCACTACTAGTAGTTATTTCGTGACGTGGGTAGTCCATGTAGTGAACATCCTTTATAGTGTAACCAAGCACATCATTTAAGTACACTAACACATGAATTAGTGTACTCTCTTTTGCTTCACAAGTCTCATCATATGGTCTACCAAAGACTGAACAAACGAGAGGTGTTGCAAATGGGTAACTAAAGGAATGGTGTGTTCAAATTCCCCTCTAATCTATATGAGGTAAGCCTTGAACCTGCATAGCTGTAACCAAGTTGCTCCACCCCTTCACTTAGAATAATGGCGGGAATCAAGTTTCTCCAACCCTGCCTCGACCATCACGTGGTATGTTGGCTGCCACCACTGCCACCGAGGATGAGGTCAGAAGGGACAAGGATCGGGCCGTCCTTGCTTCAAGTTGACCAGTGAGTTAGTATAGCCAATCTGAAGCCTGTTCTTCGCCTAAAGTGCTCAAGAATAGCTCCCATGAAGATCCATCGCAGAGGAGCACATTGAGGTTGTCTAAGGATCGGCAAGGCCACCTAGAAGGCCGCTGAATCTCATCGAGAGACGCGTCGAACAACAACGATTGGCAAAGTTAGGGAAAGGAAAAAAGTAATAGCTTGGTTTTTCTTTATGATTGGAAGTTTGATTCATATATATAGAGGGGGGTTTATCCCAGTAGGAAACATATTAAAGACGTCAGAAATAGATCTAAATTGTATTTTGACATCTTTTGCAAGGGTTTCGACAGCTTATGGGATAAGGCCACCCCTCCTTAAATAAATATAAGAGGCACAGCCAATTGAGGTGTCCAATACACACAATCAACAAATATCAATCTACTACCTCTATTTTACCCTCTTTTCTGATCTACTTCTCTCATTCTTCGTCGCTGCTGCATGGCTGATGGATCAACGACTATGAAACTCTAGAGTGGTCAAGCCGGCTATGCATGGCAGCCCATAGCCACCGCATGCCCCAACAGGGTACGTCTCGAGCATGTGAGATTTGGGGTTTCAAAAGATCTCGTCAGCAAGTCTTGTATATCACACTCCCAACAAGGCTCCTCTAGTGACATGTCTTGCGTACCGCCAGGCCTGGCCCTGGGGCGGGGCGGTAGGGACGGCAGTCCCCAGCCAAGCGAACGGATGGGCTCCTCCCTAGGTATGATACGAGTAATAGGATACGTCGATACGCCAGATGCCGATCCAACTCACCGTTTTCACGCACCGACGCACGCTCCGCGTGACGCGATCATGCGATCTTCTGGCCTCCGCGTCCGTTCCACTGTTCCAGCAGAGCAGCGCAGGCGGCAAGCCAGCAAATCGATCTCACACAGGGCCCGAATGTCACCTCTAATCAACTCTCATCCCTGATTCCTTGTTCGGCAGTTCCAGCAGGCAGCAGAGCAGGCAGGGAATTTAGTTACTAATAATTGTTTCTGACAGTACTGTGGCACCAAGGTATGAATCTGAAAATTAAAATTTAGATACTAGTAATTGTTTCTCACGTGAAATTGTAGTTACTAATTGTTTCTCCAAAATTTGACAGTACTTGTCATCAACAAAGTATGTTTCTGGCAACAACAAAAGAAAGAAGAAAAAACGAATAGATGATTTGATACAATCACAAAGAGGGGCTCTTCATAAATTTCATAAGAGTAATACAAGCACTTCAAGAGATTCAGATGCATTGGCGATAGTTGCTGTGGAGGAATCAGCTAATGCTAATCCACATGATGAGGCCATATGGTAGACAATGTTGACATCGACATGGATGAACATAAAATTGCTAAAGAACTATTTGAAATCTATAATGTCACAAGAGAGGTTAAATAGATTGGCAACATTATGCATTGAGAAGCGATTGTTGGATGAGATTGGTATTGACACCATCATCGATGACTTCGCATCAAGGAACATTAGAAGAAATTTTTGAGGTAATTTAATATGTATACAAATTATTCCATATGAATATTGCTTTTGCATTTAGTTAACTGCTTATTAGTAACGTTTGTATATGTGTGTATATAGTACCAATGGGTACTACTAGTAATATTATCATGTTCATATAAAAGGCCCAAAATTTTAGCTTCGTTCCAGGTAAAAAAAACTCAGGACCAGCCCTGCGTATCGCGCTTATCGCTGGAGGCAATGCAACATGTTAGTGTGCGAACATACCTTAGGTGCCGGCCGACATAAAAGTCGGCTAAACCCTGCATCAAGGGATCTAAACTTCTTATCGGTATGGTAACCAAACTAAGCGTCAACACATCCAATGGTTGACAAGTGAAAATCTCTTCATCACTCCAAAATTAGATGGTCAAGATAATGTCATAATGAGGCGTCGTCGGTTGCATGATTTTAAAATGTCTTAGCTACGTCAATAATACTCAATAGAGTGTTATTCCCTTTTCTTTTGGGACTCTATATATGTAGTGGCGTTTAATTGGTTCCATCATAAAATAAAATATTTCTACTTCGTAATTTACTCCCACTACTACATTGGAAAACTCCAACTGGTTAACCACTGCACATGTTTCTTCCTCGAAAGTTGACATTACGCGTGAAGAAAATTGTTATAAATTTTAATATTGATCTACTCAAGCATTGAATATGCTAATCTTGAGGATGCTACTTGAACATCATATTGATATATACCCCATATAAAAATGACATCTCTCCGATCTCTTCTGAAGTCAACACATGGTTGTCTTTATCTGCATCGTCCCCATTAAGGCCACCACTCCGCTTCAGGAACCACGCACTAGACCTTGCATTTCATTTCCACCAGAAGTCTCTAAAAATGAGCTTCCGAAGAAGCTGGTGCTCCTTTGTATTCTTCTATTCGTCCCTGCTACTGCTAGCGACAATTGCTCAACTGGCCACGACAACCTTGGCGCAGGCCAGCCCTAACAGGACGGTGGTCGAGGAAGTACCAGGCTGGCTCCGCATCTACTCCGACGGCACCGTCGAGCGGCTGACACCGCCGGGAGGGGAGCCTTTCATCGACATCGTCCCACCGTACATGGAGCCACGCGGCGGCGTGACCGTCCACGACGTCGCTACCGACCACGGCATCAACGTCCGTCGCTACCTACGGGAGCCGGCTGCAGCTGGATCCCGGCGATCCTCGTCCACTTCCACGGTGGCGGCTTCTACGTCTCCCGCCCTTCGTGGGCGCTCTACCACAACTTCTACGCTCCTCTCACCGCCAAGCTAAAAGTCGCCGGCATCGTCTCCGTCTACCTCCCGCTCGCGCCCGAGCACCGCCTTCCATCTGCCATCGACGCCGGCCACGACGCGCTTCTCTGGCTCGGTGACGTCGCGTGCGGCAAGAACGTCACTTACTCTGCACCGGTGGAACGTCTCCGGAAAGCAGCCGACTTCTCCCGTTTAATCCTCATCGGCGACAGTTCTGGCGGCAACCTTGTGCACCTCGTAGCCGCACGTGCTGGCGGGGACGGCATGGGTGCTCTCCACCCAGTGAAGCTCGCCGGTGGGGTGCTCCTCCATCCGGGCTTCGCCCGAGAGAAGAAGAGTGTTGGAATTAGGATCACAGATCACACGCTTTGACGCTGGCTAATCCTAACCGGATTCGACGTAAATGTAAAATGCACTGAAAAACTGAAGAACACAGGTTTCGGCAACTGTCAACAAAGTGCTGACAGAGAGCTATTTTCCTCAGATTTGTGTGATCAGTACATGACGATTACAAATGGTCTAAGCAGTTCCAAATGACGCTAACACAAGCTACTTATACCATCAACATTTACAAAACACAACCCTGAGATAAACAACTGCCTACGCAGAGGCAAACACACACTGCAGAAGACACATCGTGCGTGAGCGTGGTCACCGCTCCTCCACCACTGGCTTTTGAACTCACGTTCCCGCCCCTAACACGTCACTGCTTGGCTGGTTGGCTTAGTGTACTCTGGGTTACATGCAACAAAGAGCCGGTCGGAGCTTGAGAACCCTCCGAGCCCGTTCTTGACCCAGGAGATGGTGGACAAATTCCTGGCGCTTGGATTGCCGCTGGGGGATACCAAGGACAGCCCCTACACGTCCCCGGAGCTCGCAGCCAAGGCAGTCCAACATGTTGCGATGCCGCCATTGCTGCTCATGGTTGCAGAAAAGGATTTGCTTCGTGATCCGCAGGTGGATTATGGAAAGGCCATGGTGCTTGCTGGGAAGGAGGTGGAGACGAAGGTCAGTAGAGGAGCTAGCGGTCACGCACATCTTCTACCTCAACTTTTTAGCGGTGAAGTCAGATCGCCTTACATCGATGCGAACAAAGGAGTTAATTCATGCGATCAAAAACTTCATCAATCACCATTGATAGGAAGCTCAACCACACTACCACAGTCATGTTCTTGTCTCATCTCATCTATCTATCTTTCCAGTTTGTTCATCATCGTGTATATCGACATTGTGGCAAGCAGCGTGTTCACTCATCATAGTTGCGTTCATTTAATTTGCTTCTACGTAATAAGCATACTTTTTCTTACCCATGGCATGTTGAATGTTTATTACATATAAGAAAATTGATACTTTATTAGTTTTTTCTAGTATTTTATATTAATATGACAAACATTAGTTAAAAACGATTTTAGAGGCGTCACATTTTATTCCAGCCATGGTTGGTGAAAAAGCCGCGTCTTAAATTATTTTGAGAGACGGACCTTGATTTCTAAAGATGATTATTGTTACCAACTGCACCTAGATATTTTCTCCATTTTTAGGGAGAGTTGGTGTTAGAGATAGCTCTAGGAAATAAAAACGCAATTTTAGGGGTCTTTGAAAACACCGATCATGATTTGAAATCAATTTTTCGCCATGGTTTATTAATGTGACTCACCTTTAAAAATAGGTGCAGTACAAAAACATTATAAATTTTTCAAATGTAGTCAAATAAAGATGAACTTTATGTTAGCTAATAATTTTTTTAAGTTGAAATTGTTTGGGGTCCCAAATATATGAGTTCTCATATTGTGAAATTCAACCTTTGGATTTTTTTTTCAACCGACCTTGGATCGAAACATGTTCTATACAAAAGTTATAGTACTAGATGAGATCTACAACTTAGTAGTTAATTTTTTTTTCATTTGAGATCATCTAGATCCCTAAATACTCATTACAAGATTCGAGGAAATTAATAAAAAGATAGCCAAGATTTAAAATTGTTATTTTTAAAGCAGATTTGGGTTTTTTTTGAAAGGTTTTTACTGTCACCACATATCAATTGCACCAAGAAATCAATTTCGCTGCATAACCGTCCCTAGATTGATTTATTGGATGGTTGCATACCCGTATCTATAAATTGATGATTTCTAGACTCTTGATAAGGCGATTGCAAGAAATACTAGAAATCCGGTCTGGTAGTATTCTGTCATGCAGGATGCAGCAAATGTAATCTGTCAATCTAATAAAACTGTTTGCTAGCGGTATTAGACAATATTATCCTTCCACGTTTAGTGTAAATTAATGGCTGCAAAGGTAAGTCAATGGATCTCACACAACTATTGGTTTTCTCATTAAGCAGCATCGCACTGGGATACTTGTTCTTTTTGCTGGAAGAAGACTTGTGACGCCAATTGGATGGCCTTTGAAGTTTGACCCCACACTAATACTGATTAGAAAAGGTGGGATGTATTTTCGGTCGACAATTTAATTTCGTGGATGTTTTTTATATTAGTTCAGCTTTAATTATTTATTGGTACATATTTTACTGACACGTCGTATGCGTGGGTATTTTTCAATGAAATTATCATCTAACTTGATATTGTAACAACCTTGAGGTGCGAGTAGACTTATGCATGGTAGGAGAAGGTATATGTTTTGTTTCTCTCTGATGCGATTAGCAGCCAATTCAGTTTTTACCACTAGTACATAAATAATTTTTAGGGACGCCTCATATTTTTTTCAAGAATAGACTACTTAGCAAACCGTCTGTAACTATCCCAGGGAACCCTGTTGCTTAAAAATCACCCATAGAAATACATTTTTAGGAATGGTTCTATTAAGTAAACCATCACTGAAAATATATCTATTTTTAAGGACGGTTTGTTTAAGAGAACCACTTCTAAAAAAATGATTTTTAGGGATGGTTGCTTAAAACAACCATCTCAGAAAATAGGTTAAGTCAACCACCCCTAGAAATCGATTTTCAAAGGCAGCTTAAAAATAGCTAGAGCACAAATAAATTAATAACTTTTTCAAATGAAGTCAAATGAAGATAAAATTTATATCAAAATTATAGAGCTCGGCGATATCTAAAACTTTGTTTTTTTAGGAGTCAGTAGGGGAGCCCCCTACTTAAATTTTTCATTATATAAACTGTACAAGTTACAAGGCAACCAGGCCCAAAAAATAAAGAGGAAGATATTACAAGAGACTATCTCTCCACAAACTGAGGGAGGCACTAATACTACTCTTGGCTTTGGTACAAACCAAACCAAGTTCATGCTTGAAGGCTACTTTCCAGGAATTCAAACAAACACTAGCATTATAAAAAAACCACTCTATTTCTAGTTGTCCAAATGATCCAGCATGCTGTGACAAAAATTTCTATGAAGATGGGTGAGCCAAAGGCAAGTCTAGCTTCAATGACCATGTCAAGGGGCTGTAGAGAGATTCCAAAGTATGGAAAGATAGTTCCAGCAGTCTGAACGGAAAGGACACTCGAAGAAGAGAGATGGAAACTTGTTTCCACAACTGAGTTGCTGCAGATAACACAGTTGTAGTCCTCCAAGAATTTGTTTTTCCATCTTAGGATGTTCCTTGTATTAAGTCTGTCTCTTAGAAGTAACCAGAAGAAGAATTTGTGCTTGCCTAGATTTCCAACAGACCAGAGCCAGGAGAAGAGAGGAGAAGCTTCATAGCTACCTTGCAGACATTTGTAAGCTTTTCTGCTGTTGTAGGTGCTTGAACCCCAAGAATAGACCCAATAATCATCTTCCTCTGGATCCCATACCCCTTCCTGCAGAACTGCCTGAAGATCAGTGAGCTGGTTGGAGGCATGAATGGAGAGGGGCAAATGGAATAGTCTGTACAGGCTTTGATCAACAAAGAACCAAAGGGAACACTTTGGCTTCTTTGTGAAAGAATAGAGCTGTGGGAAAGAGCTTTTCACAGTGTCTTGAAGCCAGTTGTCATGCCAAAATAGGACAGAGTTGCCTTTGAATGGATTACATTTCGCCATCAAGAGGAATTTATCCATTAATTTCATAATATCTTTCCACCAAAAGGAGCCAATTGGGCTTCTGGCATGGGGAGGAGTGTTGTTATTGCTGGAAAGTTTAGACCAGGTGAGGCTTACCCAGGGAATGTCAGCATTGTTATAAAATTTATCCATGTATTTTATGAGCGGAGCTACATTTTGGTTTTTCATATTGACAATGCCAAGACCTCCTTCTTCCTTGGTTCTGCAAGCAATATCCCAAGCAGCTAGACAGCTGCCTTTCCTGTTGATATCCCCACCACTCCACAAACAGTGCTTTTGATATCTATCTATTTGATTGATCACTGTTGGAGGCAACTGAAGATAGCACATATAGAATGTAGGCAGAGCTGAGAAAACTGAGTTTACCAGGATCAATCTCCCCTGGTATGAGAGGAATCTACTGATGCCTGAAAGTCTCCTTTCAATCTTTGTAACCAAAGGACTGAAATCCAGAATGGAGGGCTTAGTTGTGCCAAGTGGAAGGCCCAAATAGGTGAATGGCATGGAATCAACATCACATCCAAAGGTTGGGCAAGATGTGAGCTTTTTTCCTCTGAGACATTAACTGGCACAAGAAAAGATTTGCTGAAGTTGACATGTAATCCACTGGAGTCAGAAAAACTTCTAAGCAGACCTTTGAGATTGAAGAGAGTTGTGCCTGAAGCAAGCAAAATCAGTAGAGTGTCATCAGCATTTGCACTACAGGGAAACCTCCTCCAAAGTCCTCACTAAGGGGATGCTTTATGAGGTCCATCGGCCAGCCCTTGTTCACTATAACTTGAAAAAAATCTGCAGCTAGAACAAACAAAAGGGGGGGAAAGAGGGTCCCCTATCTGACCCCTCTTTTGCATTTGAAGGGTTTTCCAGGTATGCCATTAAGCAGCACAGAAGAAGTTCCAGAGTCAAGGAGGTTTTTTGTAACAACCCTGAAATCCCAGAACCCAAAAATCCCAATTTTAAAAAAAAAATCTAAAAACCCATGCTTGGTGAGTGAAGCATGATAGGAAGACACCCTAGTTGCACAAGTAGACCCTAAAGATAGATGAAGTGAGCATATGCATTAACACCATTTGAGTTGCTTCTCTTTTGGTCTCATGAGTGTTGACAATAATTTGATCAACCCTTTTTGAATAAATGCTCTTGTTGTGTGTGGGCCCAGACCCTGGCTTGACCTAACCCCTATTGTTGACCTAGATGGACCCCACTAAGGTAGTAAATACATGTATACATGAATAGGTGCTAGGAAATAGAAGTGGAAAATAGAAATAGAAATAGAAATAGAAAAGGTTTGGCAATAGAGGGGAAATGGAAAAGGAGCAAGGAGCCCAGCCAGCCTGGCCAGCCCAACTCGCGCTCGCCCGGCTAGCCCAACTAGCGCTCGCCCCCGAGGCCTAGCTCGCCCGCGGCCTAGCCCCGCGAACAACCGCACCCACACCCCCTCTCAACGCCGCTGACGGGTAGGCCCCACAGGACCCACTTGTCATCCCCCTCGCCGCGCCCCTCCCCTGCTTTTCCCCTCGCCGAGGAAGAGCATCTCCGCCGGCGGAATCCGAGGCGGAGCCTCGCATCTCCGACCATCCGTGCCCCAGCCATTGCCTGCACTCGCTTGGATGGCTGCCACGTCCACAATCCGCGACCACCCACCTACCCAACCGGCTGATGTCCGCCAGCCATGGCCCCGCACAGTGACGCCACCCTGTCCTTGCCTTGACCGTCGGCGTCCAAATTGGAGAGCGCCAAAGCCACGCACACCCCAAACCCTAGCCCTGAGCCCCTAATCACCCTACACATGTCCCTCACCCTCTCTCGTCATCTGCCGCCGTGCCAGAGGTTGCCCCGCCGTTCCCGAACGCCTCGCTGGACGAGGAGGGGCCGATGACGTCTGCCATAACCCTGTGAGCACCGCTGTGTAGTTGGATGGCCCTAAGACCTAGTCCTAGCCCTAGTTCGCTAGAGCCGATCACCACCGTGCGTCCACCCTGTCTCCACCGGGAGCTTTGTCGTCGAGTGGACTCCGCCGCATGTCTTGGTCACCGGAGCCGCCTGTCTCGATTCACCCGTGAACTCAAACAAGTAGAAAGGAGCCAGCTTGGGCTCCAATTGCGCACACGGCAGCGCCGCCATGATCGATGTGCCCGCTGTCTCCGTAGCTATCCATGGCAAGCCAAAAGGCTTCGCCTTAGACCACGTGCCACCCTCACCTTAGTACCATGGAGCACTGGGAAGCCATAGGAGCCC